AAAAAAAAATTTTGAATTTACTTACTTGTAGCCGGAGTTAGAGGCGGTCGGATACTTATGACCGCTACTGTATTCCAGGATAATAGTTCTTGCAAAGCCTCTAATATATGTTTCCTGATAAAACTTTTATTGAATTCTATAACCTTATCTTCAAGACCATATTTATAGACGAGAGATCTTAAATCATCACTGAGCTAACCTGATAGCTTTTGCGATGAATCATTCATAAGCGAAAGTGAGAGGTTAGAGAGATCTACTATTTCATTATCTTTCTTTGAGATTATCTCTCGGAGATGAGAATTTTCCTCCATTAAATTTAATTGCACTGAAGACAAAGCATCTCTTTCCTAACTGGTTATCTCATATATCACTTCTATCCCTTTTTCTATGCATTCTATTTCATATTTTTTTGAATTTAGGTTCTTATTTGCTCATTCTAATTCAAGCTTGAGAGAATTAATCACTTTGGGTTCAGATGAGTTTATTTGGGCTGGCTTCTCTATCACCCCTTCCATTACATTTGAATTATGGAACACTGGATTCAGTTCAAGTCCTTTAACTTACCTTCCAATTCAACTACCTTAGTTTTGAGAGAAAGAATCTTGACCTTATCAGCGTACAAAGCTTTTTGGACTAAAGTTGCCTCTTTTTCAGAGTTTTAATCTTTGATTTAAGCGATTTGATTTTGGCAGAATATTTGGCTTCAAGCTCACGTTGACTCTCAGAATAAGATTTCTGTTCAAAAATAAGTTGAGATCTAACTTTAGTACTAGACGCATTTAATTAGCTAATCTTATTTCCAATATCAGCATAGGTTCACTGAGACTCCTTTTTTCACTTTAAATACTCTGAATTTTCAGCTTGTAACTTTTCGTTGAAATCAGTAATTTCAGAGATAAAATCAATAGCGGTTCTTATTTTTTTTGAGCTCTTACTTATATGCACTACCTAGCCGATGTCCTCTATTTTTTATATCTTTCAATGTATGCATATTGAACATAATCATAGCATGGTTATATAGCAGGAAAAAAAAATGCGCAGAAAAATCTTTGAAGCACTTTATTATTTTTATGAATACTACTGATACTACCGTATTACTGATACTAGCTTATTACTAATACTATGTATAATACTGTATATCAGTAATGGGAAATTGGACAATTGTTCAAAACTGTGTCTAAAATATGTTTAAAACCAAAACTTATTTTAATTGAACAAGTTTTAGACAATTATTTATGTAATAATCAAATCCAATAAATATCATTTTTGATACATTAAATATAAAAATTTTATTAAATCATTGTTAAAGTGTCTTCAAAATTGCATCTGGAAGTTATTTATACTTTTGAAATATGGAATCTCAAGAAATTATAAAAAAAATAAATATTCTATTAAAAATAAATAAATATAATTATCAAAAATCAGGGATACTATAAAGCATTACACGTAAAAAGGGTAATGATTATTCTAAAAAAATCACTTCCAGAAAATCTAAAGAAAGGGTAAAAAATGTTAATAATTTATTTAATTCAAAAAAAGAGTTTAACAATCACTTTTCCATTAATATAACTTATCTCTGATTCCATTGATGAGGTTTTTTGCATCGGTAGAAACTCTGGGCATTGCTGAACTAATAACATTTTTGAATTTCCATTCATCATCTTTAACATATAAGAGGTCATGTTGATTAGTCATAATATGTTAGAATTTTGAATTGTTATTCAGACTAAAACCGTATAATGGCTATTAATAAAAATTATAATGTAAGTAAATAGTTTTTAAATAGTCAAAATAAAAATAATCTTAATAACAACACTTACATCTATGTTATGAATACATAAAGCATTATTGATATCTTCCCTGTAAGTCTAGTTCATTTTGAATGACACATGAATTTGTTCGCTTCCTGTTCGAAGCATATTTCCGTAATAGTTTAAATTTATAATTTTTGCAGAACACTTGGCGATTTGGAAAACGCAAACCATCTGTATTATCTCATGGACTCTATATTCCACATTGTGTGCTAATGCAGCAGCTACCGTGTCTTTTAAGTTTGTAACTCTAACATCTCTCACAAAAATTATAATCTATTTTTTCCTGACAAACCTTACATTTTTCAAACAAGCTTACTATTTGTTGTTAATGATTTGGGCATAATCCCAGTTGGTTCAATTCTAATGAACAACCTAAAAAAAAAAGGCATTAGTATTATTTTCTAATGCTATTAGAATCTTTAACACTATTTATCGATTGTTAAATCCAAAAAGAACCATCCAAGAACGTCCAAGAGCGTCCAAAGAACCTAAATAAAAGAAGGGTTAGAATTGTTAATTAACATCATTAACATCACCTACTCATTCAAAGAAACTTACCAGTCAAGATTCGCCCAATAAGAATTGTCTAAAAACCATTCAGGAACCGTCCAGAGCTGTCCAAGAAGCTTCCCTAAAAATAAAGAAATAAGGAACGTTAGTAATGTTCCTAAAACTATTATTAAAAAAATTTCTTTTTTAAAAATATCATTTATCTCAAAACAGCGTCTTAATGAACAAAGGTAAGTTCAATTTTTTTTTGTTTTAGAATGATTATTACTGAAACTGATCAGAACTTATTCTTTTTTTTCCTCTATAAGACTGACTGATCGATCGATTCAAGATTTATTAGAATCTATAAAAGGTAAAAAATGTTTATTTATTTAATTAAAAAATTCATTAACGTCATCCCCCTTCGTAGGACTCAC